GTATGGAAGGGAACCTATGTTGCCTATAGAGTTGATGTTGGAGATGTACCCTGTAGATAATGCGGCTAAAGAACAATACGAAACACTAATTTTAGCACAGATATTTGGAATCATCAATGGGCTGTTTGAAGCCAGAATCAATACTAGAGAAAATATACAAAAGTCACAAGAAAAGCAAAAATGGTATTATGATCGTCAACACCTGCTCCAAACTTTCAAAGTCGGTGACTTGGTATTACGATATAGAGCCAGGTTAGCTAAACAGTTGGGTAGGAAATTGCAAGAGAAATAGACAGATCCCTACCGAATCTCTGAAAAATTTGGAAATAGAACCTACAAACTCAAAGCCATGGATAGTCGAATTGAAGCATTGGATCAAGCAGTTTATGGAAACCAACTTAAGAGGTATATCGAAAGGAGAATCGAAGATAAATCAAGTCATAATGGTCACGTGCAAACAAGTAATGCATAATGAAATGTTGAAAAAAACTTTGGATTGTAAAAAGATGCATGCGACAGTTGTACACGGGGTTAAGGGGCATATAACAAGGGTTTGACCCTTTGTCCTGAACGTGGATGCGGTAGAAAAAAAAAAAAAATTTTTTGTTATTGCTGGGATTCGAACGGAGCTCATTCTCGAAGAGGAGGAAAATATTATGCAAAGAAAGTTTCACACTTAAACTTTCTTTGTGTAACCTGTATACTGTCGTAAACTTTGCTTATACTTTTAAATAGTGCTTAGATCCGGTCTATAGAATCCGGATATATCCGGATATAAAGAGGATAACAGATATTTATTTGAAAAAGAGGATTACAAATCCAGATTTTTTTTTTTAAATCTTCAATCCGGATTTTATCCGGATTTAATAATAATAAATTATCTGCATATATGATATAATCGATTTATGAAGCCTGTTTATTAAATTGATCCATTTATGTAAGTTACTTGGGTAGGAACCGCGTAGTGGTTTAGTATCCTGTGAGAATAAAAGGCTTTCTTGTAATGAAAGAACAACGCGTGATACAAATTAATTTCCTTTTCTAGTTAGCATAGTAATCTAATTTTATAAATTTTTTCCTGAGTCTCAATAATTATTATGATTATTAAATATCGTATTGCAGGCTGTCATTGTTATCATGGAATTTAATGATTGCATAATTGTTATCATACAGTATTCTGTAAGCATTCGTAGTATTTTTGGTTAGCAAATTTACCAAAAGCATACTTTTAAAAATACTTTGCCACATATTTCTATCAGTCCAAATTAATAAGAGTTTGACGCATTAACTAGATTAGATATGCCATATACATATGCAATGCTTTTTTTTTCAAAAAAAAAACTACATTTTTCTATCAGTCCAAATCAAAGCATTGTAGCAAGTTTAATATAAATGTCATTCGCTTATTTTAATTTTTAGAAGTCGGTGTTTTTTTTTTATTCAGAATTGTGGATTTACCGAAAGTATTCAAAATACTTTTAGCAAACAGTTTTAACTAGAG